GTCAGGAGGTTCTGGCCTCCTCACAGTTTCAGTCAGATGTAAAATGCTCTGCCAGACCAACTGTAACTTATTCAGAATAGAGTGTGATATCTTCTAATGTTTCACTAGAAGAGACATTTGTAACATTACCAAATGTTTCAATTTGCTAAGACTGGAAAACGGAAAGCTTTATGGAGATTTCAAAATCTTAATAAACACCAATATTTCTATCCTACTCTGACATTATTACATATTCATATTTTCATGGGTTATTTTCTTCATGACATTGAACCCATTGGCCAATAAGGACAATATATGTTTTAAGATATTTGACACTGCGGCCCCGACATGCCTAGCCCACACTCCCAACACCACTGATGCTGTCCGCCCAATCTCCCCTCTTCCTTCTCAGAGTCCTTCAACCCCATGTGATTCTCACATTCACACCTACTCAGTGATCCTCCAATACCCTTCAGCAGGTCGCCTCAAATCACCGCGGCACACGTTAGAAGAAGCTGGTGAGTCTCCAGCCTGGAAAAACTGCAGGCCCTGATGGTTTCTGAACAAAGATATTCCTGACTTAATGCTTAGCAAAGGCACCTGAGTCGTGGACGACGAGTCATGTGATGTAAAATCCAGTATCCCCGTACGTCCTTAGGCCAGGCCTCCTTGACAAGCTACAGCTGCTGCAGTTCTCATCTCTGGTGGACGCAAGAGACAAACAGGGAGACTTAGTTTATGTAACACTGTGGTGTTTTCTGTCAGTCTCCTCTAGATGCAGGTGTGGCGATGTTGCAGGAATAAGACTCCACATGTTTTAGACTTTAGTTGGACAACAGAGCTTTATTACAATTCTGCAGGCTAAGTCAGCATGACCGAATTGCGAGGAAATCTCGGCCCAGTCATAGTGAAATGCCCCTGATTGTTGGACAGCGCCCCCTGTCTAGGGCCCTGCACAACACACACTGTCTTCAAAGTTTACATTAGATCTTAGGCATGTTTCAGTCACGGTGGCTGTGTGTCTGCTAATGCATTGGGAGTCCATTTATGAAACCTGTTTTTTTTAACTCAATGTCCCTTTCAGTCCTCATGATCACTATAGACAAGGGTTTTCCATTTCTCAACTTCTGAGTTTTTAATCATTGCCACGTTTGATTTTGTTGGCAGAACAGAAAGGTGGTCAAGAAGAAAACCCTGAGTGGTCACGGTCGACTTTATTGTTTGGTGGAATCAGGACCATACAGTGAAAGTAAGAGCAACTCGAGGGTCTGGGGCTGAACAGCCGCATAAGAAAACCACTGATCAGTGAGACTAACTCAAGAAAAGACTTTGGTTTGAAAACTAGCTTGAAGATTGGATGACGGAGCTATGATAGAAGGTCATGTAGTCTGATGAGTCCATAGTGACCCTGTTTCAGAGTGGTGGTAAGAAGAAGGGCAGACAAAGAGGTGCATGCAACATGTCTGGTCTCTACTGTACAGTCTGTCCAATAGACGAAGGAAGGTAGCAAAGGGGAGGAGTGAGGAGGTAGGAGGCATAAAATCAAGAATTGTTTGGGAAAAAAGCCACAGCTTAAGCTCTTCTCTGACTTCAAAGATGGACATGCAGTTTGGAGGTGACCTCTGCTTCCCACATCTCTTCAACACCTCCTGCAGGAAACCCAAATTTTCTTGGACTGAAACTGTGCTCCTTCGCACCATACTGTCCTTCATCTCTCTGCTCACCGTGGCTCTCAACCTGCTCGTCATCATCGCCATCTCTCACTTCAGGCACAGACAGATTCTTCATATCACATTTTCTGCTTTGGTTTCACTCTTTTAAAACTGTGTTTGAACAGAAAATGGCATCTGGCTGTAATGACCAGAACTGGAGATGATAGCATTTCTTGTCTCATTTCCAAACCTGAAGATGTTTCATTTTAACTTGAACCAAATAGCGAGAAGCAATTCAAATGCGTGGGGTGTGTTGTAACGAAGTGTTTCTGTCTCCTTGCAGGAAGCTCCACACACCCACCAACATCCTCCTCCTCTCTCTGGCTGTGTCAGATTTCCTCGTGGGGCTTCTGCTGATGCCAGGTGAAATCGTGCGGCACACAGCCTGTTGGTTTTTCGGCGACCTCGTGTGCTCCCTGTATAATTACGTGTCGTACGTCGTCACCTCTGCTTCGGTTGGCGACATGGTGCTGATATCAGCTGACCGCTATGTGGCGATCTGTGACCCTCTCCGTTACTCCGCCGCAGTCACGGAGAGAAAAGTTAAAGTCTGCGTGTGTCTCTGCTGGCTCAGCTCTGTCCTGTACAGCAGCGTCATCGTGAACTCTGACCTCACTCAGCCGGGGCAACACAACTCCTGCCAGGGGGAATGTGTGATTGTAGTCGACTACATTTTGGGAACGATTGACCTTGTTGCTACGTTTATTGCTCCGGTCGCGGTCATGGTTGCGCTGTACATGAGGGTGTTTGTGGCGGCCGTCTCTCAGGCCCGGGCCCTGCGCTCTCAGGTCACGGCTGTCTCCCTCCAGCTTTCGGTGAGTCTGCCGAGGAAATCTGAGCTGAAAGCAGCCTGGACGCTGGGGGTTCTGATGGTGGTGTTCCTCATGTGTTTCTGTCCGTATTACTGCGTCAGCCTGGCGGGTGGCGACCTGCTCACCGACTCGTCTGTATCCTACGTCATATTTCTGTTTTATCTCAACTCCAGTCTGAACCCAGTGATTTACACGTTGCTTTATCCTTGGTTCAGGAGAGCTACCAAACTCATCGTCACGTTTCAGATCCTGCGGCCCGGCTCCTGTGAGGCCAGCATTCAGTGAAGTTTCATAACTAACATGAACTTGAAAGGAATAATTGAAAACTTGCTAAATTTGTTTTGCTGTTGCATTTCCACCGTGAGATTTTGATGTTTTTTTGTTTTTTTTCCAACAACATCCTGACCTTTGGAATCACCAAACAAAAACGATTCAAATTAAAGGTGCTTTACAAATGTTTTGTCTCATGTTTTCTGATCTGCTACGTCTGAAATACAAGCAGACCAGCGCAGCATGTGTCTTGCTCAGTAGGAATCTCTTTGCATTCACAGCAAACTGCCTATACATAGCTATATATGTCTCTTAGTAATGTCCAGTTTTAAAAGTAACAGCTGTTGCTCTAATATCCAAGTGAACGGTTATGCATCAATGCTGCTGTCACAGAGGTGGAAAGTACATGTAGCTACATTGATGCACAAAGCCTTAATTTGACATTTTCTGCTCCATGATTCATCATATCTGCCATCCTGAGTGGATGATAACACATAGCACCACTGTGTGATGGCCCATTATAATTTGAAGTCAGGTTCTGTGAACTTCTTATCAGTAATAGTTTCCCTACCTGTGCTAGAACTGTGCCATGTTACAGTGAATTTATAAAGAAATCCTCAGAGCAGCGGAAGGCTAACAGCCCGTCTTAACTGACTCTTGAAGTTTGAAACAACTAAAATTGTTCTTATCTGTGGCCTGCATGTCGTGTCGACATGCTGCCGCCTTCCTGAATTAGTGGCCCGGGTCATTTCTTTTGCCAAAAGACGATTTAGGCAAAACAAGCAAACAAAAAAAGACATGGGCCGTTATTTTAGGAAGATGACAAAACATGTTGGCCGTCTACAGGAGACTGCAAAGTGTGTCACTGTTTGAACAGTGTTGCCATGAAAACAACTGGCATCGTCTGAGGCTGCCACATTGTCAGTGCAGCAGATTAATCCTTTCAGCTGCCAGCACTCAGTCTTATTACATAGATGGTGGCTCGTTGTGAAAAGTTAAAGGTTTATTCCCCTTTCTGGAGAAGACTGACAGCAAGGATTGAAACAGCCAGCCATATGACAACAATAGAAACATTGTTTTATGGCAATAACATGACAAACTTAAGAAATGTAATTTCCTCCAACAAAGCACAGCTCACAAATATGAACATTTTCATTTAAAGTGGTTTTGTATGGCTTTGAGAGACTGACGACCTGTCCAGGGTGACCCCGCCTCTCGCCCGGAACGTTAGCTGGAGACAGACACCAGCACCTCCTGACCCCACGAGGGACAAGAGTGTTAGATTAAAAACACCTAATTACACCATTCACCTCCTGACCTCCTGTCAGCATTAAAGATTAGAAGATGGAAGATCATGAAAGCCCCTGGATCCGATGCTATTTTATCGTCTTATCATTCTTCCTGGAGGCCTGCACTCACCAACAGATCTTCATCCAGATCTTTAACATGTCTCTGGAGCTATGTGAAGTCACACATCCAGGTCCCCACCAAACCCCCCATAGCAAGATTAAATTCATTTAGGTATTTCATAGTCAAGACAGCACACTTTCCCTATCCGGCCTGCTGCACTTTGCTGATTGGGCAAACATGTCAGCAGATGATTGAGTAAACTTGGGGCTATAAATCGTGTACTTGACCAGGTAGGGTAGTGCACCAGGATCCTGTTTCTGGACTTCAGCTCAGTCTTCAACACCACCATTAGGCATGGTGGCATTTGACATTTTCCACCAGGAGCTCAGCAGCTCACAGTGCTGATGACCCGTCGGTGCATCACCAGCGAGGGAGCATCTTTACCTTCTGTCCTTCTGCACAAGAATCATCAACACGGGCGCCCCCCGCAGATGTGTTCTCTCTCCATTACTCTTCTTTCTGCACACAAATGACCAAACCTCATCAGATCAGTCAGTGAAAGTCATGGAGGTTGCACATGACTCCATTGCCATTGGTTTTATGGTGATGAATGGTGATGAATCTACTCACAGACTGGATATGCTGGTCCACTGGTACTGTAAGAACCGCCTGGAGCTCAACCTGTCAATCCTGGAGATGATGGATGGTGGACTTGCACAGAATTCTCATCGAGTTCAACAACACTGCTTAGAGTGAATCGTTTCCAGGTCGTTTCACCTGACCATTTCTCAGGTGATTCTCACACACAGACACTGTTTGGAGGTAAAGACTGGGTACAACCAGAGGCAGCTCTAGAAGAACAACCAGAGCTGCTGGTGATCTTCCAAGATGCCATTATACCATTAGCCTGTTCAGTGCACAACCATCTCTGCATCCAGTTAACTCACAAAACAGGAAAAGCCTAAACTGCAACGAACGATTAGGTCTGCAGGGAGGAACACTTGACTTTCTCTCCATGCTGGACTTGTAAAGGTCAAGGGTCAGGTCAAGGCCAGCCAGCATCACTGCAGACACCAGACATCCTTGATCTCTAGACTATATTCAACATCATTTTCTTCTGCAACGGTTGTGCCTCCGTTGAGGTGAAAGTACGTTTCTTTTTGAGTTGGAGTCAATCCGGCTCCTGGGCTGTTCTGTGCAATCACAGCTACAACATAGACAAGTATCTGGTGTTCACGAATAAAGCCAGGCAAGGTGTACACATTTATGTGTTGCTGCTAGCGAGAAAAGAAAACTAAAAGGAAAGACACAGACAGACTGAAGTGACAGGCCTTAACATCGATGTTTGTTGTTGCACTGTTGTCGTAGCAATGGGTTGCACCTGGCATCTAACGGTCTGCAAATATTAGAAAAATATTCACTAATGCTGACAATGCAAAAGACAAAGTCAGAGAGGATGAAGAGGAAAAAGAAGGAGGAGTTACAAGCTGACATTCATCAGGTATATAATCAGACTTTGCAGCTGATTGTTTTGCGCATCATGTGAAGATGGAGCTGGAGTCTGGAGATGAGTTCTGCTTTCCAGAGTTAACCAACAGCTCCTGCAGGAAGCCTGGATGGACCTGGACCGGCGCCGTGATCCCTCAGATCATGCTGTCTTCTATTTCTCTGCTGACAGCGTCTCTCAACCTGCTCGTCATCATCTCAGTCTCCCATTTCAAGTCGCGATTTAATCTTTTTTATTATTATCATTATCATTATTATTGTTTGAGTTATTTTTGCACAAAGCTGTATAAAGTTGTGCTAGTGTAAAACCAGCATGTATTGATTTGATATTGATTTTCTGTCTCTCTCCAGGCAGCTTCACACACCCACTAACGCCATCCTCCTCTCGCTGGCTGTCTCAGACTTCCTCCTGGGTCTCCTGTTGATGCCTGCAGAAATCATCCGGAACACAGGCTGCTGGTTTTTTGGCGATCTCGCTTGTTCCCTGTATAACTCTCTGTCCTTTGTCATCACCTCTGCGTCAGTCGGAGACATGGTCCTCATATCGGTTGACCGCTATCTGGCTATCTGTGACCCCCTGCGTTACCCCACCAGAGTCACAGACAGAAGAGTTAAAGCTGTTGTCTGTCTGTGTTGGCTTTGCTCTGTTATCTACGGCTGCCTTGTGGTGTTAGATGACTTGGTGAAGCCAGGCAGGCACAAATCCTGCGTGGGAGACTGTCTCATTTCTGTCGACTTTATCGCAGACACCGTCGACCTCATTGTGAGTTTTGTCCTTCCGGTTGCGGCCATCATAGTGCTGTACATGCGAGTGTTTGTGGCGGCCGTGTCCCAGGCCCGCGCCGTGCGCGCTCACGTCACGGCCGTCACTCTGCAGCTTTCGGTGAACGTGACCAAGAAATCTGAGCTGAAAGCAGCCAGGACTCTTGGTGTTCTGGTGGTGGTTTTTCTGATATGTTACTGTCCGTATTACTGTTTCTCCCTCGCAGGGGACAATCTGCTCAGTGAGAGCTACGCATCCTATTCGCTCTTCCTGTTTTATTTCAACTCCACTCTAAACCCTGTGATCTATGCACTGTTCTATCCCTGGTTTAGAAAAGCAGTAAAGCTCATTGTCACTTTCCAGATTTTGCTTCCTGGCTCTTGTGACTCTAATGTATTGTAAAATAGATAGAAATGACCATAAAAATAATAATAATATTGTGCAAAACAATCTATAGAGAGGTTAAAAGTGGGGCACATCCTCAATAAAAAGATTTCAAATACATTTTATCACGTATTTCCAGCCAGCAGCCATTGATTTCCAATGAAGTTGTTTTACATTTTTCTGGCACCAGTAGTTTTTTTTTTTATTAGTAGTATTTTATAACTATGAAGCAGGACGTTTCTCAACGTCCTTTGAGAAATATTTAATGTCTCATAAAATATCTTATTTTATGAGACATAAAATAAAATGTCTCATAAAATAAAATGTCTCATATACACCATGAAAGTTTATGGTGTATAAACTATGTATAAGCATTCCTGTTAAAGTAACATGTTTAACAGTTTGATTTTCAAACATGAAAGGTACAATCATGCCTCAGTATGATGACAGGATCAACGAGTCACACATGCATCCAAAAAACTTCTCAGCAGATTTAGAGACAGATAAACAAAGACAAGGGGACCTAGAATCTGACTCGCATGTTCATATAACTCTCCTCCGAGTCCAAGGTCCAATCCTGACGAAAACATCCAGCCAAGAGACTTGCTGCTTAAACACAAGCTTTGCTGTTTCTATTAAATGTCTCCTTGCGACCACTGATCAAGCATGAATTCAGGAGGTTTTTAACTAGAGCTAGATATGATCTTGTTGCACCAAAAATAATGTTTACTGTCCAGTGTAAAATATGCAAAGAGGTCACCATAACACCTTCAAACAAATACAAATCTGAGTCATTCCAGTAAATCGTCCGACATGTTTCAAAAATGTCCTGCATGGGACATTTCCACATGTCCCATGAATGAATTCCCACTCAACTTAAACAAGTCTAATCACTGTCTGGATTTTACTGACGCACACGTGAAAGTGCTGCTTCTAGTAGCAATAACAGAGTAAACCAAACCTAAAGACACCTCTGAAAATAAACACACTCAGGCGTCCCATTGAAGCCTTAGAAACTAAGAAAATAAGGTGTGTCAGCAGGTAATGTGGTAGAAACTTGTCTTGAAATTGCTCTTAACGCTGATAATGAGTTTAACTGAGCCCTTAATGTTGAACTGGTCTAGACTCAGCAAAACCCTTGCGCTTCAATACGCAAGAGTTGTTCATAACTTGTTCATAACAGTTTCATGTTATGGAAGGAGGCAGCTCTCTGTTTTCTGCTCTTCTTGCCCTAATCTCAAATCTCGCGTTAGTCCTACATCTGGCCCTATTATTATGAATGTGAAGTCTAATGCACCAATTTTATTTGACACCTAAAAACAGATTATTAGCCATATTACGTGGTATATTCAAGCTCTAGTTTATTTCATATTACCTTTTTCTTACACATATGGTGGAAACTAAAACAATTTTAACCTCATTTCTTACCTACAGGTCGAAATGTTAAACTTCAACTTCCAAAACAGAAGTGTAATTGCCAAATTAGGCCACTTGATGGCAGCATAGGTTCGTCCTGGAGTAATGAATTGACGTCCACATTAGAACTTTTGAAAGGTAAAAGTCATGAGATTAATAAATAATACATATTAAAATGATAATTAAAATGACTACATATATTATTTCCATCTGATAACACTGCAACACTGAAATAAAATGAGTATATATTCCATGCAACTACATTAAAAGATCTTCCACAACTTGTTAAAATCTGCATATATATATACGTGTCTTCTTCCTGTATTAATTTACTTCTGAATATATTTAAAAGATTTACAATTTCAAGGTGCCATCCACTGAGCTCGACTGCCACCCAGTGTTGTGCCGAAATGTTCTGCTGATTGCTGGTTGTGCGTCTATCACTGCTGTACTGCACTGTGGTTCTGACCCAGCAGTCCAAAAGCCATGTGACAGCCATTGCTTTGGTCATGACAAGAAGTAGTTATTGGCTTAAATATATCTTTAAGAGCCTTGTTAAGAAGAAGTTTGTTGGAAGATGCAAGATCATTCTACTGTCAATAATTTTCTCTCCTATAAATTATTGATTAATATTACCAGACGGTTGATGGGAGACAATTGGTGTTGAGTTAGGGTTAGGTTTAAGGTTAATTTCTTTTCTAGAGTCAAATGTGAGGCCATCTGTGTGACAACAAAAACTTTGCCCAAGTCTGGACGTGCAAGCAGTGCAGAAACGATTCAATAAATTCTTGGAAAACAGCGCGACAGACTGAAAAACATCTGAAATGCCTCTGGCAAGTTGAAATCTGTTGTAACTTGGCAGATATTTAACCTTTACAAGAACTGCGTCAAACTGCTTGTGTAACTTAAACCCCGGAGGCTAACAAGATTTGATTGGATATTGTATAAAGGATTGTGACAACCTGTTAAACAGTTTAACATGACATGTTTATCTGTTTGACTTCATTTAATGAATTCATTTCTTTTTTAAACCCAATTCTTTAGGAAAAAATCACCAAAATGTTATCAGACTGTCAGGTAAACATGAGAAATAACATCAAACTTTTACATGAATTAATACATTTATTTAAGAAAAATGCATGCTTCATATAAAAACAAACATTTTTAACATTTTTCAAGATGTGAAATGAATTAAATTGGGTTTTATGACAAGACATGAATTTCCAGCTGTGAAGACACTCAACCAAAGACATCAGCTCTATATTCAGTTTAATCAAATCATGCAGATTAAAATTCAAAAACACTCATCCTGTATCTATCCTGTTTACTGAACAATGCAATAAAGTTTATTGTTTATTTCAGTTGGTAAGAAGTTTTGTTTTTTTTGTCAATCTGAGGAAACCCAGTTGATTACATCGAGTCACTGACTTTTGCAACAAACCCTGATACTGAGCAGCAACTATTATTATTATTATTATTATTATTATTATTATTATTATTATTATTATTATTATTATATTATTATTATTATTATTTATTATTAGTTTTGTTTTTATTATATGTTGTTGGGTAGAATGAGAGTGCAATGTAGATGGACTATGATCCTAAAATGTATTTCAAACATGAAGATTGGCTTGTTATAAGTCTTTTAATCTATTTTCCATGTTTTAAGTGAAATAATCTATCAGTGCAACTAGCAGTTTATAAAATCAATATTAATGAATTATGTACTGAGAACAAACTCCTAGATCTTTCTGAAAAGTTACTTGTAAGTTAGTTTTGTCGCATTTCAAGTGCACTCACCTGTTTGCACTAGAAACTAGATCACAAAGTAAGTTTCGTAAGGCTTGGTGTTTTTGCAGTGCATATCTCTTCATATCTGAACTTGATGAGCTACACTTGTCTCCTTGTGAAGTGAAGATTATCAGAGGAGACTCCTGACATGTTTCAACACAGATATACACACCCATGCTGTAAGAAGGGGGCGTCGGTGGGCCAGGTATAATGGGATCAGGAGAAACCGGTCTACCTGGCTCAGACTCCATATGTGAGCAGAGCAGAAGGAGAACCAAAGATCTGAATCACGGTGAGTGTTTACGACACGATCTTCTTGTTTCCCTCCTGTCTTGAGACGGTTTCTTGTCTTTGAACTTTTTGGACAGCAGTGCATATTTTAAAACTCAATTTCTGTAGTTTAGTCAAAATGAAGTTGTGTATCATCTGTGAGAAGGAGAGGATGATAAGATCAGAAGAAACAGATTATTTATTTGGCTTCACTGGCTTTTAGGAAAAAAATCCCTATTAAATAGTTATACCTGCATAACATGACAGGATTTTTTTCTAAACACTCATCCTTGGCAAACACCAATCATATTTTGTCACCTCCCAGTTTTATTTCTGTGAGTCAAACTCAAAGTATTGCATAACAGGGAAGTGAAAGGAAACTGAGGTATGCTGTTTTTATTTGCAACCAAAATATTCGGCAACCTTCATTACAGTCTGGGCTGCACAGTTTTTGAAAGCTCGTAAAGTTGCAGTCAAACATGGACCTTGAATATCAGTGAGAAAAAAATTTCTGGAACCAGAAAGTCATTTTGAGAGTAATTTAACTTTGAGTTTCTAGAAAGAGTTGGCCGAACCTTCTTTCAGAACAGAGATTATTTTCCGGACAGTAAATTAATAATGTCTGCTTTAGTCAATTTCTCTGATTTATGTTATAGGTGGAGATGGGTGAGGAGGAAAGACTTGCTGGCATCCTGGATGATATAGTTGATAATGAATTTGGTAGCTTCAAATGGCACCTAAAGAGAGAGATCTGGAATGGCATGGATCCCATCAAGGCCTCCAAGCTGGAGAAGGCGGAGAGGCTCGACGTCGTGGACCTAATGGTGCAGACGTACCAGTTCGCTGGAGCTGTAATAGTTATGAGGACTATTTTGGAAAAGATCAAGAGAATTGACCTGGTGAAGAAGCTCAGTGACCCGAGTCCTGAAGCCGCAGTTGAAGGTCAGTAACAGACAGGAGAACTTCATATCCTTCTGATTTCAGATGCTTGGACCAGAGGCACATTAGACAAGAAACCCTTCACCCTCCGCAAAGACTGGTTCAGGATCTTTAGACCACATGATGGCCAGAATCATCAGAAGGCATCATCTGGGCACGATTTATTCACTGGAAATCAGCCTGTTGGTCTTGATGCATAGAAAAACTCAGGATTTGAAGAAAATGGCTGCTTATCAATTAAATTTTAGTTGATCAGATAGATCAGTCAACTTTTGATGAACTCATTAGTCAGTAGGTTATATCCTAAAAGTCTGAGTCAACATAAAGACAGAGCAGAACAATGCTACCTGTGCTTAGACCTGTTGAGTTGGAAAACTGTGCTTGTTGATGTGAGGCGGACCACAGAATCGCTTCTTTGTGAATTTAATGATGTCAGGGGTTGGTCGTACAAGGGCTCTTTTTAGTTTCTATCACAGTACATGCTAAAATGCTCACACTATCCTTAAGTAAAGCATTGATTAGCAAGTCTATAAAGGTGTATTCCATAGATAAAAGAAATATTGCATTGACTTCACTGGCAAGGCAAGGATAAAATCTGTGGGTTAAATCTTTAGACAACAACCTTCTGCAGACATAAAGTCATATCAGCTTGAAAAGAATCAATCTTTTGGATGAATCATTTTACTTACCTGATTCTGGGAATTCATTTCACTCCAAAGAACTTCCATTCCACATTCACCATTATTCCCTCTTCCTTGGGCTTTCATCTTAGTCTTTCTGCCAGGTTTGTCCTGCCCATTTAGCAGACATAATTTGGTGAAATGATGATGGACTTTAGTTAGAATCAGAATGTGTCGAGCTCTATGGTCTGACACACCTTCTGCTGAGCTGTGGGTCAAAATCTGTGAAACGTTTTTTTCTGCAGATGGGCAAAAAAGGAGCAAGGCGACCTCTTGTGCAAAATGGTTTAGAATGCTTAGCACAATTCACGTGCAGGAGTCCATTTATTAAAAGGCCAAGTTGTATATTTTCCTCTCTTCATGTTTTTCTTTTTCATGTCTGCCATTTTTGATCTCAGGTTTCATCTGAATTAAATTCTCCTCCTGGTCTGTAGTTGCAATGACCCCCTCGTTTGAATAACTTGACATAAAAACAATACACTTAGTGTGAGTCTTAATTTGCTGAAGTGTTTTCTTTTGTGTCTTTGCTTCTTTCCTCAGATTTTGCTGATCTGTGTCAACATGGCCACAAAGAACATCTGAAGAAGACATTGCAATGTCTCCGTGAAGGCATCGCAGAAGCTGGAAAGAAAACCTTTCTAAACGATATCTACACAGAGCTCTACATCTTGGATGGAGGATCTGGAAAGGTTAATAATGAACACGAAGTCAGACAGATTGAAAGAGCAACCAGCAAACCAGGAAAAACAATCCTACTAGAAGACATCTTTAAACCCCAACCTGAAAATAACCAACCAATTAAAACAGTGATGACAAAGGGAGTGGCCGGCATTGGGAAAACAGTCTTAACACAAAAGTTCACTCTGGACTGGGCTGCAGACCAAACCAACCAGAACATCCAGTTCATATTTCCATTCACTTTCAGAGAGCTGAACACATTGAAAGAAAAAAGGTTCAGCTTGGTGGAACTAATCCATAAATTATTTATTAAAAGCAAAGATGTCTGTAACTTTGAACAGTACCAGGTTCTGTTTATCTTTGATGGTCTGGATGAGAGTCGACTTTCACTGGACTTCCACAACAAAGAGATCCTGACTGATGTCACAGAGTCCACCTCAGTGGATGTTCTGCTGATAAACCTCATCAGGGGGAAACTGCTTCCCTCTGCTCTCCTCTGGATAACTACGCGACCTGCAGCAGCCAAACAGATCCCTCCTGAGTTTATAGACAGGGTCATAGAGGTCAAGGGGTTCACCGACTCACAGAAGGAGGACTACTTCAGGAAGAAATTCAGAGATGATGAGGAGAAGGCCAACAGGATCATATCACACATCACCGCATCCCGAAGCCTTCACATTATGTGCCACATCCCAGTCTTCTGCTGGATCACTGCTGATGTTCTGGAGGATGAATTGAAGAGCAAAGAGGGAGGAGAGCTGCCCATGACCCTTACCGAGATGTACATCAAGTTCTTGGTGGTTCAGATCAAAATCAAGAAGAGAAAGTATGATGGGGGAGCTGAACGAGATCCAGACATCAGTAAGATGGTTCAGGCTTTGGGAAAACTGGCTTTGGAGCAGCTGCTAAATGGAAACCTCATCTTCTATAAGTCAGACCTCCAGGATTGTGGCATAGAGATCAAAGATGTTTCTTTCTCAGGAGTGTTCACTGAGATCTTTAAAGAGGAGACGGGGATGGGCGAAACCTCTGTCTTCTCCTTTGTTCATCTGAGCATCCAGGAGTTTCTGGCTGCAGTCTACATGCTCCACAGTTTCACCACAAAGAATACAGAGGTAATGATGATGCTCCTGGAAGAAGACGACCACTCGTCTTTGTATTACTTCTTGACTTCTTTCTTGAGCCTGTCCAAGAAAACAGACCATGGCTACACACTGGATGAGTTCCTGAAGAAGGTCATGGAGAAATCCCTCAGCAGTGAAAATGGCCACCTGGACCTGTTTGTTCGCTTCCTTCATGGCCTCTCTGTGGAGTCCAACCAAAGACTCTTAAGAGGCCTGATGGGTCAGACAGAGAACAGCCCAGAAACGATCCGGAGAATCACAGACAATCTGAAGAAGATGAACACTGATGACATCTGTCCTGATAGAAGCATCAACATCTTTTACTGTTTGATGGAGATGAATGACCTCTCATTCTGTAAGGCGATTCAACAGCTCCTGGAGTCAGGGAAGAAACTTTCAGAGGTCCAATGCTCAGCTCTTGCCTACATGCTGCAGATGTCAGAGGAGGTTCTTGACGAGTTGGACCCAAAGAAGTACAACACAACAACAGATGGACAACAGAGACTGGTTCCGGCTGTGACAAATTGCAGGAAGGCCGTGTAAGTCCAGATGTCTTTGTGGTCTGAATGCTGATTTGGCCTAGCTGTCTCTTTTTTTGTCCTGTTTCTTCTTCATTCTTCGAGAGATTGCTTCTAGACATTTGTTGGCCTTTACATCATCCTTCACCCTTTGGACTATTTCAACCATTCAGATATCTAAATGTTATGCTCATCCAGGACAGCACTGCTCCAGTGTTTGGTATTTAGAGATTTCTTTTTAATCATTTAAAAAAATATCTCACTTTTATCAGTGTCAGTCTTATATTGAAATTCATCAAAATCTCTGTTTTATATGAAAACCCCTATCATCCACAGACACGTTTCAAACTTCTAGCACCTCTGGGCTGCAACCACATGATTCACCTTTTAGGATCTTTATCTGCTATTATAAAATCATCCAACCCTTTGTTTCTTTCAGACAATGACAGACCACGACAGATGCATGTCATCCTATTTTATTCTGTGTTTATAACAGATTGCATGATTGTTATTACAACTTACTATTTCTTCTCTAATCGCAGACTTGGTAAGTGTTGGCTCTCAGAGGTTGAATGTGAAGTTGTGGCCTCGGCTCTGCAGTCCAACCCCTCCCATTTGACTGAACTGGAAATAAGTCAGTTCTGCAAACTGAAAGACTCTGGAATGAAGCATCTGTGTGAGATCCTGGAGACTTCAGTCAGCATAGTGAAGAGTTTGAAGTTAGTGTTCTTCATTTATCCAATAAAATCAGTCACAAATATTTCAGCACTTGTTGTAAAACATAATTTTATTCTGATGTATTATCTTTTAAAACAACCTCCTGTCTGTCGGAATCTTATTTCTAAAATGCCTTACCTCATAAATTCATTTTTTTTCTTTCAGACTGAACATTATTTTTTCAATTCTTCTCACTTTAAAATGCTTTTGACTGATGAACAAAAATGAGGAAAATAAGTCAATGTCTTCCAACTCTTATTGTCATCAACTTACCCGTGTATAATGTGTGCAACATGCTGGATTGGAAGACTAATGCTGAGGTTCATTAGTGTTAGGAGGGACATCTGGGAAGGTTAAAGTTTTCAACCAATCCATGGAAAACAGGGATGAAGCTTCAACAGAGCGCCTATAATAGCAGCTAACAATAGAAGCCTGATGTGGTACTTGACCATCACATCGTCTTTTATGAATTTGTCCTTCATTTTCTTTTCCATAAGTTCTTTCATCAGCATATTTTTTTCTCCACCGATTCTTCAGCAATTTTATTTCTTGTTTTTTTGTTCATAATTCAGTTTTAGCCTCCATCCTGTTGGTTTAACTAACATATTTTCTTTGCTCAGGTTGGAGAATTGCTGCTTGTCAGAGACCAGCTGGTGTTCCCTGTTCTCAGCGCTGAAGTCCAACTCCTCCCATCTGACAGAACTGGACCTGAATGGCAACAACGACCTGAGAGATTCTGGAGTGAAGGAGCTCTGTGGTTTCCTGTGTACTCCTCTCTGCAAAATACAAAAACTGAGGTCAGTTTTGTAGTTTAGAGACGATGTTTCTGATGTCACATTTGTGTTGCCACTTAACTTTATCTTTGTCTGCTTTCACCAATGGACAAATGTGAGGTGACTCTGTCAATGAAATGCTGCAAAAAGTTTCACCTGCAGCAGGTTCAGTCCAGGCTGTGAACAATTGAAACCCAAAGATCATGACCATTTGACCCATCACGTCAGAGACATGTTTTCTTTTGACGTCCTTAACAGTTTTTTGTCATAGCGCCAGAAATCCTTTCATATTTGAACTGATGTTTAATGGACCCACAGAATGCAGAAGGGTTTTACTGGTGGAATAAAGCCCTGATCTCATTACACACAGTCCTGTGGGACGGCCTGGCACTGATTAAAACCACGTGAAAACTGACCAGCAGGAGAAGAGTTGAAGACAGGACAGAGCTGGCCGGCACGTTGCTATAGAAACGTAGTCTGGACATTGTTGTCTTACACGCCACAGGCTGATGCGTTATATCAACCAGCTCGTTCTCCTCTGACATCAGTTCATCCTGTTTCTGTGATTTCTGCAATCAGTGAATTTATTTCATTTCTACATTTTTACTCATTCGTTTCAGTTTATTGACTTCAGCTCACACCTTATAATTCTACATCCAGATTGCAAGACTGCGGGTTGACAGAGCTCAGCTGTGCTTCCCTGGTCTCGGCTCTGAAGTCCAACCCGACCCATCTGAAGGAACTGAACCTGAGCCTCAACGATGGCCTGAAAGACGCCGGAGTGAAGGAGCTTTGTGCTTTTCTTCAGACTCCTTTCTGCAAAATACAGACCTTGAGGTCAGAAGCCATATTTTTAGTTCAGCACTGATATGTCTGATGTGAAATTTGCGAATGGCAGACTTTTTTTTTTTTTTTTTTTTAACCCATACTCTAGGTCTCCCTGGAAACGTTTGTCTCTTCTTCTCCGGCTTGTCCCAGTTAAAGTTTCTTTGATTTTAATGAAGCCCAAGCAGTTCATCTTCAGCTCACACGTTTCATTCTTTCCTCAGACTGAGAAGCTGCAGTTTGTCAGAGATCAGCTGTGCTTCTCTGGCCTCAGCTCTGAAGTCCAACCCGACCCATCTGACAGTACTCAACCTAAACTACAACAAACATCTCAGAGACGCTGGAGTCAAAGAGCTCTGTGGTTTTCTACAGAGTCCTGACTGTAAAATACAAAGACTCAGGTACAAGATCATATCCGTTCATATTTGTGGTATAATTAATTTGAAAACAAAGTTCATATCTTCTCCTCTAATACTTTTTCTGAATTTCTTCCTGGACTTGGAGATAATGTGCTACTGAGTTTGACCCCTGACCTAAGGTCACAACAGGACAGACCCTCAGAGTATATAAAAAAAACTTATGTAAAGCATGTCAGAGGTCATTCAACCCAGTTTAGAAAAATTATTTCAGTTTCTGAAATGTAATGATCACTGATTTATTCTTTAACACTTATGTGAGAACCTGGAGTGATTTTACTGACTAACATATTGTAACATGTCCCAGTACAGTGATCTGGCTCCATGTGTTTCAGGTCCTGAAGTTTTACGTTAAATGTTCTCCATGATTCCATGTTTTTGTGACTGTGCAGTAATTAAAATGTGTCTGCATTAATGTACATTTGTTCACATTTCCTCCAAAATTCCTTCAAATTTGTTTATTTTCTGGGAAAATTGGATAATTTGGCTGCAGAAGCTGGACTTGCATTGATGCGTAAGCTGGTGGAGACGAGATTTCAAAAGTTGAAGTTAGCAGGTCTTTCTAAAAGCAGCAGCATTAATGTCATAAATATTAATCTGGATCTTTAACTGGTTCTGTTGGATTGTCTTGACCTTTATCTGGTTGGCTTCAGCGTTGGCCTCATGTTTCTCATTCAGTTTGGTGAACTGCAAGCTGTCAGAGGTCAGCTGTGCTTCTCTGGTCTCGGCTCTGAAGTCCAACCCCTCCCATCTGGAACAACTGGACCTGCTTTCGAACAAACTGAAGAGTTCAGACATTCAGCAGCTGAAGGATCTGGTGAAGACTGTGAGGTCAGTAGATGGTTGTGAGTGAGTCCGGTTCAAAGCATCCAAGCAAAGCTCTAGTGTTTCCAGGGAAGCTGCGGCTTCCTGATTGGACACACGGACAATGAGACGGAATCTTGCCGCTTCACAAACACTGTGGTGATGGAGTCCATTGGCTGTGCTGCAGCAGTCAGCTGATCTCCTCTCCTCTCTGCAGGTTGAAATGATCTCAGGAAAAAGAGAGAAGCATCGCTGTGTCCCGATGAGTCGCCTGAATGCCTGCTTGAAGATGCAGTTGAAAAGAGATTCCGATGATGAACTTTGGGATGAAAGATTTTTTGTATCCTGTTTATTTTCTCATTAAAGTTTCGAAAATATTCTGAGTAAGGAGACGAGGGTCGGCTGATTCCCTCTCCGGATGTTTCAGAGCAGAGGGTCCAGATCCAGGCTATGTTCTAACATTCAGACTTTACCTATATGTATGTAGTTATGAAACGAGATAAACAGAGTGTGTTAGTTCCATAGTTATTGCTTGCTTTATTGCTGCATAATCCATGGTTTTGCTTAAGCGGTGGCTGTCCTAAATAGATACTTATTATAAATATACATTGTTCTGTTGGTGTGTGCTTGTTGTATTGGGTCAGGTAGATGCTGCAGTTTTGTTTATCTAAACCACAGAGTCACAGCTGATTTTCCACATCTTCCTTTTCTTCCTACCCTTCACTGGGCATTTTTCTATCTTAACAGTGATTTTGTGTTTGATAAATAAGTTCCCAGGGTTTGCAACAAGCTTGGGAGTTGCAATAATCTCCTGCACTGTTTTATAAAAACAGATTAAGTTTGTAATCATAATTTAGGTATTAAACACGATTTACTTCTTTATTCAGTTTAAGGATGAATAAATGTTTTCACGCTGCCTGTTTTGCATCTGCTGGTCACCTGATGTTGCGGCGGAGCGAATGAAATCATGAATCAGACAGATGGATGGATCGCCTCAAGCTTCCTCTCGCCATCACCGCTGATGTTGCGTTTCTTTGGATGGATGAAGATTCAATTCCAAATCCGTTCCACTCGGTGGCTTTGTGAGTTTTGATCTGAACTTGATTCAACTGGAAAGTTTCTCTCCGATTTACTCTCAGCCTGCAACTAAAGCATGTGAAATAGACATCGAGTCAACAGATCCCAGCCTGCAGTTCTCTTTATTCGCATGCAGGTTTTGGATGTTTTTTTGTTTTTTTTTTTCATAATATTATCTATAGATGTTTGGTCATTTTATCTGCTGCTGCAATGAGCTCAGTGACTAAATGATGTTGTTTTTTTTAATTAGAGAGATGTAGCTTCTTTTTTATGTCAAACATTTCTTTTTTTCTTCTTTATGAAGAGTAAAAATAAAGTTTGTTGCTCTCCAGCATCTCCTTTGGTTGCATTGGAAACACTTTCTGGAGGATCTGTGACTCATCACGCAACTCTGCTCTGCTGAGGTCAGAACGGTGGGGGGTCAAACCTTCACCCCACACTGTGAATGTTGGAACGTTTTCATCAAAACTTCACACGTGTCATTTCCATGTTTCCTGTCCTGGTATTTCTGACGTACAACTAGAAGTTGCTCCAAAGCACAAGCAGAATCACATCCAAAGTGATTGTTTACCGTAATTAAGGAAGAGATGTTATATCTCATCTTTGGGAATATTTGGTTCCAGTTTTTGTTGTTTTTTTGTGTAAAATGTCTACGATACAATCTCAACAATGGCAGAAGTTCACCAAAAATGTTTTACTGCAACCATCCAACATCAGTAAGATTAGAAAAAAGAGATCAGAGAAGCGGAGTTTAGGATATTTAATACAATAAATGACTGTACAGCATACACACACACACACACACTGTCTCTCTCTCTGTGTCTCTCTCGACCTCCCATTTCCAACATACACACTCTGTAACACGAAGAGCCAAGGATACACAACGACCACAGCGAACATCGCATGGACAGACACAGCGATCTGAGCGTCTACAGAGTCTTCACTGTTGGTCATCTTGGCTTGGCGACGGCTCTTTGGCCGTTAACGTGGAATCCGACAATGACCTCATCGCCGTGGCCATACTGCGGCCGCCCCGCCATTTTTCACAGTCAGCAGTCGCAACGGTGACACAGAGAAGAGAGTCGGCCTGGATGAAGAGCTGCAGTAATCTGGTTCTCATCAGAAGACCGGGGGCCTCCGTTATTGATCTGTCTCCACGGTTTATACAAGGTCATAATATTACGCTGTGGACACATTGTCCTAAAGAACAAGAAGACATTGCTGCATGAAAACATCTCGTGAAGAAGACGCCTTGTGGTAAAATCCAGACCACCTCACTGTTGCTGCTCTGCTCCCCACCTGGACAAAAAGCAATCTGCGTTGCCAGAGTCGGGCGTTACTTTGGCAACACACAATGCTTAGTGTCATCCCAGGAAGAATTAGTGGTGCTGTGACAACTGCTGGGTCTGCAACCAGAGAGATGCAAGATGGGAACGTAGGGGTGATGGATTCTGTTGAATTCGGGATAGTGTCAAACAGCCGCATTTATTTTTCAGAGTTATTAAAATAAATGGTCGTCTGAGGCATCGTCTAAACTGTTCAGCTCTTACGTTCCTCTTCTTCGTTTAAGGCGGCGGTCGAGGGACTCGCAATCAGACAGACCAGTCGTCCAATGACAGAGACGTTTTTATTTGACTGAAACAAAGACAGATGCAGAAAGTCCACAAATAAAAATATGAAGAACATCTGAATGAGAGACAATTTAAAGAAAAGGAACACAGAAGGAAACAATGGATATGAGAAGAGAGGACAAAGAAACCCCGTCTACTCTGGGTAATAAAGTGGAGAATGAATTTTGGGAAGGCAAGCGTCAAGTGAAGGCAGGGCGGCGTGTGACGGGTCAGCAGAAATTAAACAACGCAAAATGAAAAGCCCACAAAGGTCACTGACATAAGTTGAAACAAACAAAAGTCATGATAAATAAAACTCCCTGAAAATGAACCACTGAAAATCAGACGTTTCTTCTCAATCGTGTTTCAGCAGAATCATTTTAAAAAGCCAACTCGTGCAACATGCCCGGACAAAAATGATAATTACTTAATATTTTTGAAGGTAATAACTGCAATCAATCACTGTGAGTGTCAGTGAGGCTTCTGCACCCGTCAGCAGGGACTTTCCTCAACTGACAGGGAAAACTGTGTGAGGTTTGCAGGGCGTCTTCTCCAGATGGTAGATTTCAGCTCCTATTGAATGTAGAAGGACAATTCAGAACAGTCCAATGTTTTGCTCTAAGCCATTCTTGGGAGTTTTTAGCTGTGTTTTCTGTCACTATTTTGTTGGAAGGCGCTAGGCAGTCGTTTTATTCTGCACAGATTTCAGAGGAAGCAAAGCAAAGCAGCCCCAGAGCATGACTCAGCCTCCTCCGTGTTGGACAGCAGACATTGTGCTCTTGTCTCGGTCCTGCTTCAGTTTTCTGTGTCTGGACATTATGGCCGATATGTCCTGTGAAAAAGCTAAAATTTTGTCTCATCTGTCCAATGGACATTGTCCTAGAAGCTTTGTCTTTTCAATATGACAAAAACATCTCCAACACACATGTAATATTAATAAAATTTGTCAATCTATTGTGATTTTCATCAGATGGATATCATCGGAGGCTACTTTTTTTTATTTTTTTTACATTTACACCAAGTTTCAGATTTCACACCAAATCCCAGAGGAGCTCAAAAAGCAGGCTTCATGGACGTGGAACAGGACCAAAGAACAAATGTGGAAGTTAAAGCTACGTCTATTGATCACAATGAGCAACGATCAGACCTCAGACTTCGCCGTGTCAGACCAGACTGCCATGAAGACCTTTGAAGACCGGCGGCAAAAGCGAAGGAGGAGGATCAGTGGTGCTTTTCGACAAGCGATGGTGACGTCCGCGACATGTTATTGTGAAATATCATCTCTGCTGCCTAGAAGTTGAATTGTTAGCACAGCATCACTGACACACAGCCGCGGCCTTCGGTCGGAGGCCTCTTCTGATTGGCTGTGAGACTTGATTTGATTCGGTTTGATCCCTCCAGTCCAAAGTGTCACCGTTCTCAGTGACTCTTTGAAGGTACTTGGAAGATATGAGTTACAATTATTTTTTTTTAACTGAATTAGAGGACCAAAGCTCCTGAAGAGTAAAAGAAAGTAATTTCAGGAATTTAAAAGCTTGTTTGAGTCAGCGTACTCACATCCACTTCAATGCTTTGACTCAACCAGCATCTCAACGGCAAGAACTCGCGTCGCAGACGCGGAGGTGTGTCAGGTGATTACGACATACCCGAGAGCGTGGAGTCGGAGCAGAGAGCAGAGCAGCAGCGACGCCTCGCTCCCGCCACGGATCACTGAAGGCGTCTAAACAAAACTACACACCCGCCGATGTCGCCGCCGCAGCTGCTTCTTAACAGCTTCGTGCTTCACTCGTCCTGATAGACGACGTTGTGCCTGCGGTAATTGTGAACGGCGATTCGCCAACCATCACACACTCTTTGGTTTTTCCAGACAATTTCCTTCTGAGCCTGACAGAAAATGAACCAGGAAGCTGCTAAGAAGCCATGATCTGATGGGGGGTGGTCACTCCGATGTGTGATTTATCCACATTCACTTGTAAACAGATAATCTGGAGGCCCTCTGGGGGCCACCGAGGAGCCACTGAGTCAGCTTCTTTACACAGAAGAGTCTAAACCCTAGTGGTTACTGCAACCGAGCTGCCTGTTGCCATGGTGATCTGTCAAAGTCAGATTATTAAAGGACTTGTAGGTTTGGGTCATCAGGCATTTTCAGGCACTTTGTCATCCTCCTCTTCCTCCTCTGCTCCTGCAGAAAGTTAATACAGTAGTGTGTGAGTTTTCATCCACATATGGAGCTAAAAAAGATTTTTTTATTTCTGTCATGTTCATCTTCATACCGTTCCAGGTCAGGTGATCCGCAGCCGTGTGGTCGGGTGACTTATCATCACGCTTTCCAGCCGAAGCGCAATCGTCTGACTTCTGCGGTGGATCTGTGACACCGCGGCTGGGCGAGGCCTGGGACGGGGCGTCTTCACCTTCGTCTTTCGCCTCGGTCTCCTCTTTCTCCTTCTTGGCCAGCTCTGAAACACAATCAGGTTTCAGCTTAGGAAGCATTTTAAAAGCTCAGAATCAGAACTCTGCAGGTTCAGAGTGACCCTGAGCTCCCATGAAGTGATGACCAGAGCAGAAACAATCAATCACACAGGGCAGCAGGACTAATGAAGGAAATGGACTTTGACTGGACCTTTTAAAAACATGAATGTGTGTCGGGTCATTGTGCTGCTGGCAGGTAGAACATCATTGCAGTCTCACATTTTCTGCTTCGTAAAGTTTTTGTTTTGTTTTTTTTTAACCCGGTATGCCCAGTAGTCAACTCTGACTAGCTTCCCATTCCTTGCTGGAAAAGAATGGGAAGCTAGTCAGAATTAGCATCTAACCCTGACCCTACATATCTCTGCAACACTCCATGTTGCAGGGATATACACAAACTTAATCTCCTTTGACCTGCCAGCAAAACAGAACACTTTCCATGTCGAGGAAAGAGTTCAATATTGGTATTTTCTGATTGGAGCTCCTTCCTCTAACAGTCATTAAACAAACAACATTGTGTAGTTTCCAATCAGTTTTTAGGCCAAATCAAGTGTTTGTTCTTGCGTTTGCATACCGTGCACAGACAGCTCCTTCCATCGGTCCTTGTTGCTGGCGATGACGCTGGAGAGGTGGTGCCTCAGAGCAGGCAGGTCAATGGCCGTCAGGGAAAAGTTCATCTGTCCATCGTCGGTGTTTCCATGGCGATTGCTGCTGTGTCTTTGCACCGACTCCACAGTGACCGAACCGCTTCCTGTTAGGCTGAATGAAAGCGGCGCCGTGCGGAGCGTAAGTGAGGTGCCGACGAATTGTTCACGTCCACTAAGAGCATTCGGAGAACATCTTACAAAAAGCTTCCATGTGCATGTTGAGCTGCGTGACTGAAGCACTGGATCAATGATTAACAATATCACTGATTGAAACCAACCGTGAGAATTACGAGGGCCATTTCTGATCCCCAACCTTTATTTTCATAAAGCTACACTGTAAAAACACAAACTCTTACCAAGTATTTTTATATAGTTTCCAGTGTAAATATCTTCACTTGAAACAAATCAAAACTAACTTACAAGTTTTGATTGTAAGCATGAGATAGGAGATTGTTTTAAGTTAGTAATTTCTATATTTGTTAATTGACTTTTTGGGGTTTTGAGTAAATAACTCCTTAATATGGATGAAAAAGTACCAGCTCCATTGGCAACAAGACCTTGTTCTCATGTTATAGACTGAACTAATCTGACAATGAAGATAGTACTGTTTCATTAATATTAAGAAATTATTTATTCAAAACCCCCCACATTACATGACACTTAATATTTCTCTCTTATGCCTTTCATACATTTCAGAGATTTAATGCTTCAGAGAGTTAAAGATTTGATACTAATGAAAATGATAGATATAATTCAATGAGATTCATATAATCAAATTACATACTAAAGTTGTTCTTGTGTGAGCTTAGACATTTAGTGAATAATAAAAGGGAGAAGCTGATATCTGCTGGCTCAGTGTTTAGAGTTAAGTAATTGGATTTCATGTGGAACAAAAGACTTCCTAATTCTGTCTGCTGAAGTTCTCAGCGCCTGAACGTTTCCCTCTGCTGAGTCAGAGTGATGCTGCTGGTTCTCTGAGCTCCTTTGCTAATCCGGTGATGTTAAGGGTGTCATCTCCATACCAGACTGCCGTCCTGGCCAGTCTGTCCAGTCCTCCACTGCTCCCGTCTTAATGGTTAATGCTCTCCTAGTTCTTGCTAATCAGTCAGTTTGGTCGTCAAGATGCAACCCAGACCTCTTACAGATTGAAACCACGGTAACTCCTCCAAACTCCTCCAATCCAAAAATTGTGGTGTTTATCTGCAGGAGGTCAGACTTGAATCGATCAGCACATCACACTACCAGTCCTCTGTACTTTATCTCATGTCCATCCTTGTTACGTGGCAGTGTCCAAAAATGTTTCGCTCACTGTCTATGATCCAGATGTATGGAAGGAAAAAGGAGTGGCAGAAGTACAATGCCCTGAGGTGCACCAGTGGAGCTGATCACAGTCTCTGAGGAGCTGTGTGGTCTCTTGGTGAGGTAATCTGTTTTCCCTGAGCTCAGGTTCGGCTCCACCCTCATCTTCCAGATCTGGACGGTACTGAGACCAGGAGACACCAAAGCAGCACCAATCCCCTGCTCTATGCAGGTGGTACATAATGAGCTTCTCCAGAGTCATTAAAGGTATAATCTGTGCAGCTCACTGCTTTCTGCTGTTACGATTTCCCGTTCTTCTTTATTAGTCAGTAGAAAACGGTGTTACTACCTGGACCTTCTGTTTCCACTCTCTTTGGCCTTCCTGTCTTCTTCTACCAGAGGTCCGATCACCTTCTCTGTTGTGTCAACCAGTACAGTGAAAGTGGGCTCCACGATGAAGTCTATGAAACCTACAACCAGAGAGGAAGATGGGTTCAACAAGCGAGCGAACGCATTAGCATTTCTTTATAAAAGTGATAAACCGAAGGGTCAGGTTGGTACCTATCTGTGACTGGGCGATCATGGTGGCTTTTCGGTCACAGAGGGGAGAGAAAGGAAGACCAAGTTCCACCTCTTTATCTCCCTGCAGAAGAAACAAAGTATGAAAGCTGAGGAGTTTTTTTAGGGTTTGTTTTTTACACTCCCAAATCCGGTTTGAATCAATTTCAAACCAACCTTGACAAACGATGCAAACAGAACATAAGCAGGCAGCTTTTGAACCTCGTCCGCCCCGTCAAGTTGGATGCGTGTGCACGAATGCAGACGCATCGAACCTAGCGCTATGCACGTCTGGTTTACATTCATTCTATGTGGGGGCGCGTTGAGGGTGTGTTGACGGTACGTCAGACTCCCTAGTCGTTGTTTTCTGCTGCCAGGCTATTCGTAGGACACGCAGGACTCATTGGACACGTTGGACGTGCGTTTGGTATGAACGCACCAAAGGAGGCAAAATCAGCTGGTGCCTCCTTTCCAATACACTGAGCCATGAGTTCTTAAGAGTTCATTTCTGACTTTATTTTAGAAATGGAAAAATAAAAACGTCTGAGTGACAAGGTTTGTCAAGATTTTTTGTAACATTGTCCTTGTTAAAATACAGAAAGATAGATGAAGACAAGATGGCTGAGACTAAACTGGATATACTGCATGAAGATGTAACTGAAATGCAAACTAAAGGAATAAATTCAAAAAAAGGTAATTTTTCAAACTTTATCTTGTGAAAATTTTATGGTAATGATGTGAATTTAACACAAAAACGCTGGCACACTGTTAGGAGTTAAGTAATTGGTTTGCTTGTGGAACAAAAGACTTCCTGATTCTGCCACAAAAAATTTTCCCCCAGTGCATTATAAGCCTGGCGGGCTGCCAGGATTTACGTGCCCTCAGGACTAAGCACGATCAAGGCCTGGGGACTGAGAGAAGTTGGCAGCTCAAGTTCAGGAGAAGCAAGACATCAAACACACTGGAGTACAGAGCTGTGCACCTGTCTGAAGAACTCTTCCATCAGGCTGTGAGTCCAGTGGTAGTGCAGCGGCCAGGCTTTGGCAGGATGACTGATGTCTGCTGCGTGAAGCATCAGAGATAAAACCTTCACTTTGTCTATACTGGAGACAGACAAAAAAAACAAAGATTTAGTAGCAGCGTGAGAAGCACAAACTATTCCAGAAATAGCTTTGTTATTCCTGAACCACAGCTCAATCTATAAAGGGTCTGTCTCCGTGGCAGCCGTACGCTAGGTAAAAGCTGCCGGGTGTTTTTCTTTTGTATTGACAGTGCTGTTTACAGAGAGTACAGTCAGCCTCAGAAACACAGGCGGAATCAGCATGCTGACAGGCTGATGACAGCGTCTTCCCCCAAAATCTCATCCAAGCGTGAGGTGAATAGCGTGACAGCCGCCTCCCTCCGCACCTTCTGCAGCACCGACAAACAGAGAGAGAAACGGAGAGAGAGGCAGAAGCCGGACCGGTCGGACTCAGCGCTATTCCTGTGAAACTCTCTCTCTGAGCAGATCCCCTACAGGGACATACTGGCCAATCTGGTCCTGGTCCAGCAGCCTGCAGGACCTTATGTTGGGCCGTTGCACCAAACTCCCACTGTTGATCTCATTGTGTCCGTCAGATGGACCGGCCTCACACGTCTTCCAAGAAGCGGCGCTCACGACGGACGATCTAAATTTGGAAGTTTGACTGCGGATGAGTGTGAATTGGGTCTGAAAGGAAAAGTATTTGCTGAAGGAGGAAAACTGTGGACCTTTTCTAAAAGCTTGTTTCAAAGCCAAAGTGCAGTATTCACAAGAAGCCCCACACATTTCAGGCTGTTTCAAGAGACATCAACACATGAAATTGCAAACTGTTTGCTGAAACTGAATGGCTCATGTAATGCAGACACAGTTACCGGAATAGAGGTTTGATAAGGTTCTTTTGTTTAACCCTTTATGACCTGAGTTTCAAATGTACACACTGTTTTCCAAATTTTATGCAAATTGGGATTTAAGAGTCAAAAAGATTAAATGTTTTGTGTTGTGCTATAAAATTTATATATGGTATTGGACTTGTTCACTGATGACTGCTGTGCAACCCTGGATGGTCCAGATGTGGATTGGTGCTGGATGGCCACCACATCCCAACATGGCTGTGACATCAGCAAGGAGAAGGAGGAGTCTTTTTTTTTTTTTAGATGAAATCATGTGGAGAAAGAGAGAGAGAAAGACAGAGCTGGTCGGGCCCTTCAGAGGCCTTGAAGGTGTGAAAACGACCTCAGCAAAGTATATGAACTTTCTGACTGATCCTTTTCTTTTATGGTTCAAAAAGAAAAGCCGTACCTTTGGTAGCAAAATCATCTTCATGCATGACAATGAATGCTGCAAGGAATACCACTGTGTCACTGGCTGCTATGGGCGTAAAAGAGGAGAAACTCATGGTGTGGTCACCATGCTCCTCTGACCTCTGACCCTATTGAGAACCTTTGGAGTTTCCTGAGGCTGGAATGCAGTTCATATCAAACAGCAGCTCTGGGAAGATTTTCTGACATCCTGCAAAGAAATTCAAGCTGAAACTTTCCGCAAACTCACAAGTTGAATGGATCAAGAATTGAGAGGGTGACGTCAAAGCAGGTCCAATGTTAACATGTGACTCTGTCTGTTAAGATGTTTTTGATTGAAATAGCTTTTGATTTTTGACCACTTTTTGACCTCTGCACATTCAAAGAATGACCGTTTGTATTTCTTTATAATCCATAAAATGTTTAGAAAATCTGCTGTGCATGATAATTTGGAACAGTGCATTTTGAGTTTTTTATTTTTGAAAAAAATACTGTTCTCATGGGGAGCTTCGTTCAGGAACATTTGATTTATACTGTAATAGTTCATGACTTGAAAATTATTCTGAGCATCATTTGCATTGACCACTTAAAAAAATCTGAGAAAATGTCACTTGGATAATAATTTGGAACATGGTGTAGTTTGCAACCTATTAGAAACATATTGGTTAAATGTGCTAATAAATACTTTCACTGTTTCACTCATAGAAATAAGGGAAATAAGGGAGCTGAAGACCTGAAACACCCCCTTGTGGTTGACTGATGAAAAATTTTCAAAATATGATGCACAACCATCGATGTAAAAAAATATTAAGAAATGTTATAAGAGTCCTAATGTCTGGTGATGTACTGACCCGTTTGTCTGTGTCAGGGCGTTCCTCATGGTCTTGATCTGCTGGAAGTGGCAGGACATGTCTGTGGACATCACCATCTCTATCACCAGAGCCCTCAGCTCCCTGCCGGGAAATCAACACGTTGAATCCCCACAGATAAGTTTGTTAGACAGACAGAGACATATTGAATGGTTGGTTGAGTGAGAGGCAGAGCGAACCTCCAGTCTTCTTTGTTTAGGTTGACCAGGATGTTCATGTCCTCCTCGGCCATCAGCTTGTAGGCGGCGCTGACGTGATGGTTCTCCAGCACCGACCTGTCGTTGTACAGGATGGCGACCTCCGACCTGACGGACGGAAAAAACTGTTCAGATTTCCTCAAATGCAACACGAGTGTCTAATTGGCTCCAACTCCAGGGACTGTCATCAAGAGACGACGCATCCACATGATTCCTAGATGATTCTGGCCTTCTACTTTCTTTTTCTGGCGTAAAGGTTTGCGCTCCAACACACACAACCAATTATTCTTTTTACTGTTGTTGCCGTGTGTGTTACCTGGTGTGGATGTGGAAGTTGTTTGTGGTTCCCGTGTGTTCAAAGTCATGGATCGCCGCAGCAAAAACCATGGCAAGGATCTCCAGCTCACTTAGCCAGTGCTACACACACACACACACACACGCATTCACACAAATGAGTGTGTTAATGTGAAGGCTTACTGCTCACAAGCAATATGAGTAATGAGCATCAAGGCCATTTCTGTTTGCACTAATGTATGTTTTATTCTTCTAACCCTAAGAAGAACAGCGTCCTCATGCAGAATCATGTGTGTGTGAGTGTGCGTTACCATCAGTCCGGTGTGCAGCATCAGGAAGTGGGCGGTCTGCGTGACGTCGGCAGCGTGGATCAGGTTGTGGTAGGGGTTTCTGTGTTTGCTGTAGCCGTTCTCCAGGGCCTCAACAAACTGCACCAGGGCCTGCACAGGGATCTGAACACAGGAGCCCGGTTAGTACCGTCAGCATGAGCAACGCACTGCTAACCCCGCGCCGATCCTCAAAGCTAAACATTCAGTGGAGACACTCGTGATGGTTTGAGTTGTTTTAAAGATCGATCATCCATCCACTGACATTTTGTATTTGTACTCTGAGTCTGTATGGCTTTTATCTACAACATGATCCATGTTCTCAGACCAATAGTTTAGTCAAATGAATTGTGCCCCACGTTTGAGAAAGACTGCTCCCACACGATCACTCCTCTAAACGTCAGAATCCACCCGAGTAGCGTGATCAAAATGCGTGTACCCTGAACCTGTTGATGAGGTCATAGCGGGTCAGCAGGTCATACACCAGGAATTTGAGGGCGTGTTCTCCAGTGGCCTCGTGGAAGGCAAAAACGTCAAAGGACCACTGATCCACCTCCTGGAAAAAACAAAATGAAAGAAAAACCTAAATGACAGAAAGCTGAAAAATAAAGCTGAGCTCTTTCAGTGTAATGTCACCATTCGTCACTAGGGGGCAGTGCGCCGTGTTTCTTCAGAAGAGCTAAAGCAGCAATTAAATTAATGAGTGCAATTATTCATTAACTCACAATTATATTTCAAGTTGGTCCCCTCATGATTCATGAGTTTCAGGTCTCCAGAATAGCGAAGGAGAGTAATTAGAGAGATAATTGAATATTCTTCTTTTTTTTTTTTAGTTTGCACAGGAAGCCCTGAAGAAGGAACATATATCAGGAAACACACCGCTCACTACATCTACATGATCTAATTCTACCAGCTCTTCCACATCTATTATTTCTGTTTTTAGACTCTTCTGCTGCTTTGGTCCAACAAAAGTCCTGCTTACATTCTTTTTTCACAGAATGTTATTTCCCTTCCATTATTCTTGCAAATGATGCCTTTTCTTTTTTTAAAAGCTTTTATTGGCTCTGGTAGCCTTTTATTTGATAGCAAATTGACAGGACAGCGGGTAATGAGCCAAGGAAGACATGTGGCAAAGGTCGCCAGGCCGGGAATTGAACCTGTGACGGCCACGTTGAGGACTATGACCTTCATACGTGGGTTGTGCTTAATCCCTGCACCGCCACAGCACACAGATTACGCTTTTTGTTTTTCTTTACACATCCTGCTTTCTTCAGTTGTTTTTTTTTTTTCTGACGTTTTTTATTACAGCAGAAATGTATCCATACCCCTTGATCGAAATGCGATCTTTACATTGTTTTCATGTTACAAATTTCAATGTTTTCCTGGGATTTCATGTGACAGGCCAACAGTGGTGCTTAACTGTGGAGTTGAAAGAAAATAATTTCTTACACGGTTTCCAAAATCTTCTTTTTTACAAGCTGACATCTTCAGAGATTGAAATTGCCCATTAAAAACTGCACACAATTTCGCAATTGCTGTGTTTCCATTAAATCAGAAACGCAGTTAAAATCACACGCGAATGCGTTTCTCCACGTGATACGTTATTTAAAACTTCCTGTTTTTGTCTTCTTCGTGTTTTGGATCAGTGTTGACGTCTGGTTGTGGATCATGTGACTCGTCTGACGCAAAGAAAATGTTTCCGATGCGGTTTTGAGAAATCAACAAATTTTGATATGGAGAAAAAAACAACAACAAAAAAAAAACTCATCCTAACGGCAAAACATTTTATTGACAAGGGTTTTTCCGTAATTACGCAAATAATTTCGAAATGTCAAATTGTGCAGTTACATGGTCAATGGAAACACAGACTGGGGAACCGGCAAAACATAAATCTAACAGAAATGAAGAATAAACAGACAAAGATAAAATTAAACTCAAAATTCCTGAATGATGTCCATGTTTGCTCTGGGCTCCTCTGAGCACGTCGTCGAGCACGGGTTGGCACATCGTCGCCATCTTGATCTGGACCTTCGTTAGCTTTCACTTCCGGAGCGCTTTAATCTTGGCCTTCGGGAATCTTTCCTAGTGTTTGATTGCTCGTCGTGCTTCTCCTCCCGTTCATTACAAGCTGAGAACGAGGTTAGAAGAGAGGCTTTGATGTGACCGTTTTAGTTCCTTATGTCACAGTAAAGGGAGACAAACACGTGTGCCAGTCACACTTTTTTAGATTCCCATGAAGAGCGTCTTTTTCATCTGTGTCTTAACAGCACTTTTTGTCGGCTTTGTTGGATTGCAACGTAACAAAGATCAAGGGGTTGTGATACCTCTGCTGCATGTTTTCAATTCCATTTTCTCCTTCCTTTTCCTCACGTTTCCTCCTGTGTTTCCTGTTTTCCCTCTTCTGCGTCAGTTCCCTAAATGTCTCATTTCTTTTTTTTTGTCTCCAATTTACCCCGTCCCTGTTATGCATCGGCCCTCTACTGTAAATGGAACCGATTTCCTGCTTGTCACTTGAACTTTTCCCCTCTTTTACCTGAACAAAGAATCGATACAAGAAAACTTCCACATCCTGGAACAGAGTATTTACTTTTTTTCTTCTTTTCTTTTTTTTTTTACCTTGAGAGCTGTCAAAGCTGTGGGAGGGTAGGTCAGCCCAGCCATGTTAGACGTCCGTCTGTACATCCTGTTGTCACACACACAGATAAAAATATCACACACCAATTTCACACTTATGAATATGGGCAGTGGCATGCATATAAACACCTCTCACACAGACCCCCTCCCGATCCTCTCCTCCACAGTTTGAGACCAGGATGGATTGTTTGTTGCCACGGCAACCCTGCTCCAAACACATGCACGTGAACACACACACACACACACACACACACACACACACACACACACACACACAGATACCCGGCGAACGAGCGCTGCCTGGCTGCAGCAGATATTTTTTGATTTCATGCGTCATTAAGCTGCAGCAGATGAACTGATGCAGCAGATGAACTGATGCAGCAGATGAACTGATGCAACGTTCTGTCACTGCGACTCGTTTACAACCTAATGATATCGGAGCTCATAAGATTCTGTATGCGCCGTTCGCCTGTGGCGAGCGCGCTAACGTCATTACGCTTCGTGTTCGACCTCTTGATCACGTCTGCTGTCAGCCCGGATGCTCGCCTGTGTTTACTTTGGAGGAAATCTATGGCTGCTGCTGCCTCCGCCTCCTGCAGGCGCTCCAGATTTCTGATCAACGTGGAAACAGCTGAACATTTGGAAGTGTCATTTTGCCCGGAAGGGTGCAATTTACCTTCCACATTTACATCAAACCTGTCTTTGCTTTACATATAAATGCATGTCTCAACTTTTGACAAGCTGTTTTTTTTTTTTTTCTACTAAAGACGACAGGGTGACGCTGAATGAAATCTTTCTCAGAGTGAACTACGGGAACTCTAATTACGGTGCCGCCAAAAAGCTCTTCAAGCCCTTAAACCTTTTCACATTTTGTCACCTCACAGCACATCGACTCCGGTGTGTCTTGTTGTGGTGACGGATCATCACTGAGCACTTTGCGGTGAAGCGAGAGGAAAAGGATGCCTGGTTTTCATGCTTTATTTCTTGCACATACAAATCTTAAAAGTGTGGCAGGCAAAGGTATTCAGACCTTTTAAATTTGATGTATACAGTCTCTCACACAACCTGCACAAACTTCTCAAAGATGGGAACATATATATATATATATATATATATATATATATATATATATATATATATATATATATATATATATATATATATATATATATATATATATATATATATATATATATATATATATATATATATATATATATATATATATTATTTTGATGAATATTATTGTAAAATCTCAGTTAGTAGAGGTGCATGGTAGAAACTGCTTTTATTGTTAGAAAGGGAGCTCAGGTCTGGATCACTTTGAATGCACCTTTTTCTCTGTGAAACATGGTGACAGCAGCATCATGCTGTGGGACTGCTGTTCTCCAGCACAAACAGGGAAGTCTGAGCTGAAGCTAATGAAGAGAATCAATGTTTAACGTGGCTCTGAACGTCATCAACTAAACACTGCTGCACACATTTCAGAGTTTCGTTCCGCATCATTTTCCTCCCACTTCACATTCGCCAGCAATTTGTTGTCTCTGCCAGTCGTATAAAATATCAATGAAACATGATGAGGCGTGTGGCTGCAAAGTGACAAAAGGCAACAAAGTTCCCGGGGTGCATGAAGAATATTTGTTACCGTAACCTGTTGAAAAAAAATTAAAACAAAAAGGAAAAGCTCATCTGGCTTCACCCTGTTGCTTTCTAAAGTGTTGCTTTAATGTCTGGTTATTTCTTACCCAAAGATTTTTTCACAGCTTCGCGTGTCTGTTTCTCACTTTCACATTTTCTCACGTTTTCATGTCCAATATATGCAGAAGATTACAGATCCGCTCAGTGTCTTTGATGCTAGATATATTTTTAAATATGATATCGATTAGGTGGAAACAAAGCCGTACTAAAGTAACTTTCATTGGAGAACTTGATGTCTTAGAAACTTGTCCGTTATGAACCTCATTATGCAGCTTCTGTGCAGAGTGGTGAATGCACCTAATGGGTTAATTGCTCTTATGTCACATTTCCATGTGAAATGTAAGTGAAATGATGCAGGATGAGATTCATGTTATGAGTAATCGCTATAAAATGGGCTTCAATATTTAAGTGCTCATTTAATGGTTTGTCAGATTGCTATAGAGAAGACAAACAAGAACAAAGATTTCATTGGTCATTAAAATGTATGAGAAGAATCCAACCCTGAACTCTTATGACTTTAGGCTTCTTCAGGGTAAGAGTAAAACCTTACCTGAACCCCAACCCTACCCTAACCCTAACCCTAACTCACAAAACAAACTCAACAAACTTCCATGGAAATTTTCCACACAAAAATCGTTTACGTTTACCTCTCCACAAAGATCCCGGCCTGCACCGCGTGAACGATGCTTCTGAACCTCGGCTTCTCCTCGGGACGCCGCTTGGCCATGCCCATCTTCCGGCTGAAGGTGCACGCCAGCCAATCGCGCACCTCGCTCGGCACGGACTCCGCCTGCAGGTCGCTGAGCTCGTCCTCTGTGTCCAGCAGGCGCCTGCAGAGAAGGGACGGGCTGCGTGACGCATCGTGCGGCGCTGCACCCTCCTGTCTTGGCCCCCCGTCTGGCCGCGCGGACTCACCTGGTCTCGTCTGTGTAGACGGCGTCCAACATGGCCGCCGCCAGCTCCAGGTTTCTGCGGAGCTCCTGCAGGTCCACGACGCCCCGGTCCATCTGCTCCAGGGCCGCCTTCAGCCTGGACAACAACAGGAGAGGAACAACATGGCGTAGGTTGTTAAAGACTCACTGCGGTAGAAGAAAACAATGTTTGTGATTTGGTGTGTTAAATAAGTTTGCTGACGTGATAAAGTCCTTAAAAACCAAGCCGCTCCACCGTTCCACAACCACTTCCTGTCATCGTCTTCTTCGTGATTTACGCCAGTGGTAATGTGTGGTTGTTGATCATGTGACTCGTGTGAGACAAAAAAAGTGTTTCCATCGCAGTTTTGCAAAATAAACCAGTTTTAATACGGCCAAAAAAGAGTCTGTCTCATAATTGTGCTAAAAACTGGAATTTTTGCCAAACTATTTCCCTTCATGAAATTAAATCCCCAGAGTCCCACTTTCTGTTTGCCTCTTTTCAGGGACCGTGCTGAGGAATCCGGTCAGTCAAGACCAAACCTGAACGTTCTGACTGACATGTGAAGCTAAACACTTGACAGTGGAGAGGAGGTTCACCTTCCACCAGGTGAACGTCATCCTACAGATAGAATCAGAGCAACAAACGGAGGGCTTTGGAGAAGATCATTTGTTCACAAAAATGGATGAAAAAGTGTCATTGACCTTCCTTCATCGTCTCAAAGCTCTGCAGACGAGCTTGCAGGACACCAGACCTGGAGGAACTGATCCGGACACCCCTGCTATAAAGCCTTGAGGCAGGAATCTGCAAAGTGAAGCTGGTTCTGCAAAGTGTTGAGGATTATAACCATACACCCTCCAGTTATATCCTTCTTTTTGTTTGCCCGTCACATCTGGCTAAATGTTACAAAATCTGTTCATCTTTTGCACTAAACACATTAGGTTTCATATTTCATAAGTAGAGTGGGAATAAGTTTATATAAATGTAAAAATGTACCTCACTGTTTCATCCACTTTCAGCCCACTCCTCCCAGTGACATTATGTTCCGTCAAAGTCTTCCTGCCTCTTTAGATGTATTTTTACTCCTCTCAGTTGTTTATTCTTTGAGTTATTTTCAGCACTTCAGAGTTATTGTCGTCAGCCTGCGTTGTTTTGTACTTTTACAGCAGCTGATTTATCTCAGCACAGGCGCTTGTTCAGAAATCAGACACGTTCCTGATTTGCAGATTTGAGAGACGAATCGTGCCGCTGAAGACTGGAGGTTTGATCTGCGGTTTGTTTGTGGTTTCCTCTGTGCATTTCTCCTTTGTGAGATGATTAGAGCATTGTTGTTTTTTAAGAAAATTAGTTAAGAGACAGGATCCTTTTGACAGAACATTCTGTAAGTCCAGAATAATTTTCATTGAACTGGTTCTGGTTCTCTGACGTGTTTCTCACTAAAAAATAAAGCTGTTTGGTTTTTTTGACATCCTCATATTTAGTCTCTCTGAACCTCTTTTGGATGCAATTGATTCATTTACAAAGTGGGATTTAAAGCTATGTTTACTTTTACAAGGTCATTTACATATAAAAACATGTTTCTGTCCGACTCACTGTACTGTCGCTGCTTTCTTTGGGAATCTCTTGTTTGATTCAGGCAAATGAGACACAGCTGTATTTATCAAGGTCCTTCATGTTGTTTTAAAGGGCCAATATTATGTGCTTTCCAGCCACATAGTGACATTTCATAGTACAGTCAAGTAACTGTTGCCTTCAATTGCAATAAAAATGCTGTATGTCTTAAATATGTCTTAAGGAAATTTGACTTCTAACACCTCAAAATTGGGTCACTGTCTCTTTAAGAAGCTCCTGCTCTTTCTGAAGCTCCGCCTTCAGGAAGTCATCACAACATGGCTCCTCTGTTAACCCTTGAACAACGTCATTACCAGCATTGCTCTGCGAAGTATCTCCTATAACAAGCTCAGCGGATGCTCAGTTCCACCAGCTGTTTGCTAATTGCTGCTGGCTAGTCTGAAGGAGCTGAGTGAAGGAGTCATGGGAGAAGGATTCTCAGTGAAGCTCAGAAGCTTGGAAACTGCGGCTCCGCGGAGAGGCTTCATCCTCAAAGGCGAGACACCAACTTTGGGGTTGGGGTGAGGGTGGAGGTAAGAGTCATCGCGATTCAATTCAGTTTCCCTTTGGGACCAAAAAAAGTATTTTTGAATTTAATTTGAACAATTAAGATTAGTTTGAAACTCCTTACGCAACATTTGATTGTTATATATTTAAAATGTGAATGTTCTTTAAAATAAATAAATGCCACAATAAACGTCCCATTAAATAATTAACTATGCCCTCTAAGTAATAAAATAAAATAAAATAAAAAGTCTATGCATTTACAAAAGCATATGATTAAAAAAGTAAATATGAAGTGAAATATTATTTAATGGGAGTCAGCAGCCAACAGGGGGGTCAGCTCTCTGGACCAGATCAGACTCTTAAATGACTCAGGTTGATATCAGACACAAGGAAAAAAACTGGTAACACCTAATATAACCATGGCATAATAACCGCATTCCAAGCTTGACTCAAAAGATGTTTAAAGAGCTTCCGCTTTGCCATTTCAGTGCTTTCCTGCACTGAGATCCTCGCATATATTGCAGTCTGCGCATTCTGCCCTCCACAAGAGGAAACAGCAGCCCTGAGCCTCTCTGCAGACTTCAGACACCTGCCAACCCACTTGATCCTCGTACTTTGCACCCACACAGCTGCTGTCCCGTTCGCACCGCACAAACCAGAATGTGGAAATCTGCTTCCTCCAGATGGACACACGATGACACCGAGCCTCCTGTCAATCAGCCGGCGCCAGCGCTAAACGACTGGAGGCTCCTCCGGGGAATAAACAAGCTGTCAAATAAACATTATGCACTGCGCTTTTCCTGGCCGAGGCGGCACTTGTAGCCAGTCGGAAAAGTTTGTGCTGCTGCAGTCGGCCAGATTTTCACTAAACTTGACAAGGAACAGCTTGTAGTTGTTGCTGCGGCAGCAAAGGCCAATTATTCTACAGTGGAACTTTCTTTCAAACTGATGCAGAAAGCAGGAACGCTAGATCAGTCGGTGCAAAGCAAAGCGTCTCAATGGAGATTTTAAACAGTTTCTTATCAGCAAAGAAGCAGATTCAGTAAACTCAAATGTGTGAAAAAAAGAAAACAACAAATTGAATTTTAGCCCTGCTTTAAGAATCTCTCTGCTCTGAGAGTTGAGAGGAGTGATGCGGTGAATTGTGTGAATGTTGCAGATTTAGCCAGACACTCATAAACCCTGGCACTACCGTATAAATCACACTGATGTTCCAAAAAATGATCATGTTTATGAATCCTGAACATTTATTATGTCATTGATTGTAGTGATAAAATGTTAAGTTTATTTTAAAAACAGATTTCTTCATTTATTCATTCTGCTTTCTCTTAGGGTGCTGACAGCAAAATCTATGTTTTTGTTGAGTTTATTTCACAAGTTTAATAAATCTCCATGTTTTATTTAAAGGAGAAGTTTTATGGAAAACTGACTTTCTTATTTGTTAGCTTTATCTTATGTTATGATGTTATCCCTTCTTCAGAAACATACCTGGAGTGTTGCATTGATTCTTTCATGCATGTTTGAAAAATCCTCCAATTTTTTCATGGCAACCACCTTTGCGCTCACATTTTTGGAAAGCACTTCTCTCACTCAGCTCCTCCAGACTAGCGTCAGCAGCTATTGTCAAGCACCTGGTAAGCTCTGTATGAGCTCTTTCTCTGTTCAATGGTTGTAGACATGACAATGTGCAGAAAGCTGAGCTTCATAAAGAGCAGGAGCTTCTTAAAGAGACAGAGGCCCAATTTCAAGGTGTGAAATTGCCTCACATAAACATTATTTGGAATATTTATAACAATTGAAAATAACGTAGTCACTTGATACTTGGCCTATAAAATGTCACTATGTGCCTGGAAAACACATAATACCGCCCCTTTAAATTGATGGAATAACGGCCCGACTGCAGCCGTTTGCCACAGCTAACCCCACCGCTTCTGCTTTTGCCCCTTCAAGGGGAATTTTTGCACCTGCCTTGACAGAAGACCATTTAAAGATATTTTCTGTATCCAACTGCTAGTCCACTGAAATGAAACGCGATTGTGTCTTAATTAGGGACGCACGACACATCGGCGTCCCTAATTATCGGCATCGGTCCGATAAGTAAAACTTGGCCGATGTTAACAACCCATTTATGTCCATCTTGTTGCTGTTTGTTTCTGGAGGGGCCTGGTCATGTGATGTTTGTTTGGTTATGTGACAGTGATTGTTGGATTGGAAAATAACATCAGCCACAACAGCAATATTAACATCAGATATCGATATCGGATATTTTCCTATCGGTGACTTGCAGTTTCGATATATGATGTGTATCAGCAGGCATTACTTTAAAGTTATTTTTCGTTTTGATCAGCGTTAAAAGAGTTTATATAATAGAGCTGTGTAAGAGTCAGTTGGTCCGATGTCGAAACGTGAAGACGTAGGGTGTAATAGACATTTTTAGACATACAGCCAATTTAACTTCTACATTAGAAAGACGAAAGGGTTTAAATCCAGTTTTAATTGCGGAGGGTTGGCAGCCCTACCCCGTGTCGCTCTATTCCTGTCAGTGAATGACAGGCCGTATCACGTAAGGTGAGAAATGACAAGATCGCAGCATTATTTTTTTTGACACAGAGAAGTTGAGACAATTCCGGCCCAGCGATTCCCCGTCCTGATCGTAGAACAAGAAAAAGTTTTTCGTCTTGACACATAATGTGCAATAATGTGGTCGTCCAGAACCTCTGCTCATCAGTCCGACTCTGTCAAACAGGAGAGGAATGCAGTGGGTAACGTTGGACTGCTGATTCACACCAGTCCGTTTACGAAACTATCAAACAAACAGTTATTCTGTCACATCATGCACTGAATGTGAATGGTTGTTTTTTTTTTGTCTCTAATATTTGACACAATGTATTCCAGTGTCTTTATTAGACTTTTTTTGTTTTTTGGGGGGAATTTGTTGATTTTTTTTTTTTTACAATAACCGCAAAATGTTTTACCAACTGAGCACTGATCATAAATACACCTAAATCTATGTAAATTAGACAGGATAATGCACAATTTGACCCCTTTGCGTGTTTTTATTTCCCAGCTCTTTTACATTTGATGCCATCTGTTTTGACGCCGCATAAGATTCTCCAGACGTTTCCGTTTCCTGTCTCTCCTTTCTCTGGTTTCTCTCAGACCCACTCTCGTTCTCGTGTGTGTTAAAGAGTGTGACAGCTGTTTCTGGCTTCTTCCAGATTTACAGCTGGCACACCTGCGCTCCGTTTAGACTCTGGCCCGCCGCGGCATTCAGCGCTGCTCTTTCTCCATCTGCCGTCAGCAGCAGCAGCAGAGATTTAGTCTGTGTTTGTGTCCATCGTCAACTGATTCTGATGAATGCGGTTTTCCTGGTGCGCCGCTCACACCCTGGGCTGCTGCCTGGCGGCCGGCAAGGTGCGGCCAGCCACCTGTCCATTCACAGCCATGTCCACATTTGTCTCTCCATACATTTCTTGTTTCCATGTACAGTGGCTGGCAAAAGTATTCACACCCCTGAACTTTGCCACATTTTGTCACATTACAAACACGAAAGTGAACATATGTCATTGGAGTTTAGTGTGAAAGCAGAAATGAAATCATGCATGATTGAAAATGCAAAACGTATGACGACGTTTGGAAAAGTTCAAAGGGTATAGTTTCAATAGAACCTGCAGCTGGAATCAGCAGTTATGTTTTGGGATCACTGTGGGCCCGGGAAGTCGCCCCGAGTCTCTGACACAAGCATCAGGGCAAAATGAAAGATCATCACCAGGCACTCTTAAACTGTTAATAAAATAAATGTTCAAAAAAACTTTTAAAGAGAAAACTGCTGACATCATCCACACATGACTTACTCAAAGATCCACAATATTTATAAAGAGAAATTAACAACTGGGAAGCAGCGAAAACTTTTCAAAGATTAAACCAGCTTACATTTAAATAACTCACCAAAATCTCACAGAAGCCTTAAATTCATTAAATAATAAATCAGTATTTATTATTAAAATGTAATTACAATGAAGTCCATAACAGAGTCCTATAAATGGTTCGTGCCAAACCGTTGAATCTGGTGATTTAGATCAAACGTGTGAACGGACCAGATCAATCCAGAACCTGGCAGAACCTGAGACATCTGAGACTGCGATTTTTACCAAAGAGAAAAAGGGCAGAGTTATTTTCTAAACCTGGTATGCACAACTTGACATTAGTCTGTCACATAAAATCTTTTAGAAATACATTCAAGTTTGGTACAAAACGGTAAAAAGCTCAAATGGGTCAATATTCCTGTGTGTCTGTTTTGATTACCAAGATGAACGGCATTTTTTTTTTCTCCTTGACCGAGTCTGACAAATGTCAGGAAGTTCATGACGAAGCGGAGGCAAAGCACCTATTTTTTTAAATATATATTATTATTATAATCTGCCACCAAAAATATCCTGAAAAATGGAAGCTGGATATCATATTTCGCAGTTACCATGGCTACAGGGTCAATTCAACTTAAAGATTAGATTGTTTCCCTTTTTTTAAATGACATTGTGTGTTTGGATTTTGCTGGACCTGTCGCGGGTGAACGGGAGGTTAGACTGTTTCCTGTCTTTTGTTGTCTCTTTTCTCGTCGACACCGTCGCGTCTCTCTGGAGATCAGAATACTTTCTGCTCTCCGTCTGCATGTGGAGTCATGTCACCGATCGTCAGCTGTGTGTCTGCTCTGTAAGCCTCGCAAACAAACAGCAGTGAAAGCCTTTTTTATTCAAACCCATTTACCTCAGCTTTTTTTTTTTTTTTTGTTTTTGCCCTTAATATCCCTTCTGAAGCTTAAATGTTACAGATCCTCTTATCTGCTGGCGTACTTTTATTTTCTGCATTTTCTTGTCTGCGGGTCTCAGTGACTCATCTGAAGGAAACCGTCCTACTGCTTGATACTGAGCCCACATTACTTTTTTTTTCCTCCAAATCACTGCAGCTGGTTGGTTAGCAGCTAGTCGAGTTTAACTCAACTACATTTACGTGAGAAACGTTTTTCAAGAAACGTACATTAAGGGGTATTTTCACTGTGCCAGAATTTTTACTGAGTCATTTTATTATGACTTATATCTGATTATATTATATCTGAGTATAATTTCTGGATTCTCTACACACCGAATGAAAAACAGATTTACACAGAAACTGATTTGAAAAAAAAATATTCTGCCTGATTTTGTTTTTTTGTTTTTACTATATCAATTATTTTCATTTTGGTCCTTAAAATACCAACATTTTCACTTAACTTTATATTGTGGTCCATCTGACGATGTAATTTTTACATACTGATCGACTGATCAGTAGTGAGTGCTCTTTATACCAAATACTTTGTTACTCTCACTTCAGTAATTTCTTGAACAGCTACTTTTCACTTTTACTTGAGTGAAAATATACTGAAGTAGCTTTACTTTTACCTGAGTATATTTTTGGTTACTCTGCCCTCATGATGCTGAACTCAGACAAATCTAGTTCAGTTTCACTTTGGAACAAATTGTGACAAAAAAAACCACTGGACTGACTGACAGGTGACGTCATGTCAATTGCCTCTGGTTGCCTTTCTATAGTGTGTGTGTGTTTGTGTGTGTGTGTGTGTGTGTGTGTGTGTGTGTGTGTGTGTGTGCGTGTGTGTGTGTGTGTGTGTGTGTGTGTGTGTGTGTGTGTGTGTGTGTGTGTGTGTTTGTGTGTCTGCAAATCTTACCTCTGTGATGTAATTTTGTATTTCTGCCTGTAAAACACACACAAAAAAACAACACAGGTTACTGGAACGATCAAATCCAGCACACAGACAGCCATCAACGTGAGCTCCCTCAGAGGCCGAGTTAACCCGGTTAAAAACAGGCAGGACAGAAAACGAGACATAACTCGCGTTTCAGCATCAGGCCTCATTAATCGGACTGCTGCTCTGCGTCCGTCAGACCGAAATAGCTCTCGTTCGCGGAATGATGTATTGGCTTGACCTTCTGCACTGCTGTTAATGAGAAACATCTTGTGTGCAGTATCATGTCTCTGTCGGCGACGCTGTCTGGCATTAGCAAACACATTTACAAGCCGGCTTCATCAACAGACCTACACAAGAGGCCCGAGCCGGGCGGCAGCTCGAAACGGAGAGCGGCGCACAGGAAGCGTCCGACACTTCAGAGGTGGTAAACTAATTTAGCACCATCAAGGCGTAAATGTGGTATTTATTACATGGAATCGGCGCTAAATCATGTTGTTGTTCGACGGACCAGCTGAAGGCATGAACTTAAAAATAAACCTTTACTTGACGAGCAAAAACAAAAACAAAACTTGCCTTCAGATTTGATGTGTGTTGTGGTTCAAAGGTTAAGTCCTGAGAACATTGAGGACCGAAGAGGAGAAAACACACTGCCGACTCAGAACTTGTTACGGGACTCTTTTGTAATCACTTTGAAGCAATTAATATTTAAATGTCAACTCTCTGATTGCTGCTTCCTCCAATTGTGGATTCGTACCCCGCAGTTCACTCTGTCTTCTGCTCAGCATTTTGCTCTTACCAAATACGACAGAACATCGACTTCTTCCCCGATCTGACAACTTTGTTTGTGGACACAGGAACCAACAAAAACCTTCTCCTCCCCAACAACGACTCCCACTGCTTTTAGCCCTCAAGTTGAGAACATAACCAGCTAAATCTTCAATTTACATCCAATATATAAAAGAAAACAGGTGCAGTGCTTTGTGTCAACACTATAACAACCAGACGACAAGGTCAGGAAAAGTTTTAACAGGGACAAGGGAAGCAGATCAGGTATGCTGACTTTGACGACCTTAACATGGAGACCTTAACATTCTTGACCTTAACAAGACGTTTTGTTTACCTGGCACATTTTCTGCAACAAGGCAGTTCAAAGTGCTTTCCACCATTAGAGGGAGGACAAAAGCAACAACCCAAGCACACAAAAGAAAAACTACAATTTAAAATGTTCCAGTTGATATTAATGGAAGGTCCGAACAGGCGAGATTTCACCGTTGTTTTAAAGGAGATTAGGGAAATATAAAACTAAATGTTAGTTCTTTGAGGAGCTCTATATTTATGGACATTTAATTTTTGTTTTGTTTTGTGTTTTGAGGGTGGCTGAAGAGATTTCGCTCGCCACAAAACGACAGGCAGGTTCAGGGGAGACATGTTCAGGACGGACACGTCTCTTTGATCCGGACCTTCCTGCGCAAAAAACTCTTTTGAAATGAGACAGGAACCTCCTGAGTAAACAGCAGGACAAGAGTTTGAGGGCGAGATGAAAAAAGAGGCTTAAAAGAGGCGAAAGGAGCAGGTGGGTCCGTGTTGAAAGCCTCTGGGAATTATTTACTGGAGTTCGCCCGCCCGGGTTTCAACTCGGTCAGAGGTTGCAGCAGCAGCAGAGGCTCATGGAGGCAAATTGGGGTACTTTAATCCTTTTAGTGACTGATTGCTCTCATTTGCATCTAAATGCTTTCCCCTCTGAGTCATAACTCCGCCAAACACAGACACACACAAAACACAGAAACGATACTTTCTTCTCTCTTTTTTTCTCCTTCTTCCCATTTTGCACACGACTCAGACAACCGCCGAGCGCCATTACTTCAGAGACTGAAGACAGTCGTGAAAATGGTGATCATCTGTGTCTTCACACAAACGGAATGAGTCCAGTTCGTTGGCTTCGTCGCAGTTTGCGACAAATTATAGGAGCTGTGAGCAAAACAAGAAAATAAATGAAAAAAGGACATCCGGTCTGCTGGAGGACCGTCTCGTCTCGCGCCAGTATATTCTGAATCTTGTCCCCCAGCTCACCTTTTTCTCTCTGAATGCATTTATGTTGTCGCTCTCCATTTCTGCCTTCTCTCTCTCTCTCTCTCTCTTTTTTGCTTTTTTATCAATCATTCCTCCGGGCGTAATGGTGTGCACACACAACCCAGCGACTCAGACTTCATGTTGAATTTACTGAGATTGATTATTCCTGTCTCATGCCGGCGGCGACGGACATGTTTGCACAACGGAGGTGCATCGGTAAAAAGGTTCTGTACGTTTCTGCTTCTGAATCTTTTCGTTGCCCCTCCAGTTTTCTATCACAGCCTCCCCGCGTGTCATAAATGACTTTTTCTCCCCCTCATTTCATGAGGAGAAATTGTTAGAGATAATCATCTTTCACAATGTCCTCCCCGCCGATGTGTGCGTGCGTGGCGGAGTCGGCGTCGTGCCCACGCAGATCGCCGCCGGTGACCGAGAGCTGCTGCTGTGCGGAGATGAAGACGGAGCGCTAATTAATGAGTTTCTAAATAAGAGTCTGTAGCGACAAATCATTTGCTGGCTCCGGCCTCAGCTGCCGTCTGGCCTGGAGGTTTTGGAGGAACTTCAACACTTTGATCTCCGACCTGCAGGGCAAACGTGGGCCAGCTGGGAATGGGCCTTGTGAGCGCGCCGAGGCGGAATTAACTCCCCGAGGAACTTCTGTCCACAAATGGAGCACAGTCCAACGGAAACACAATCACCCGGCTGCAGCTGATTTGGGCCATTTTGTGTCATTCAGCATCTTTATTTTGCACCTATCAAGTCACATAAAGAGTCTTCTTACTGATCATCATCCTGAGCATTAGCATTAGCCCAATTGTTAAAAGAGTAACATTTGGGCAGTTAAAGATACACTTAAGCAGATGTTTTATCCACCTTGGAGCAATTCTTCAACACTCCTGCTACCTCATATTTGGATCTATGTCTGCTTTTCAGGCCTTCAACAATTCTCTGATTGGATGTTTGACCACGTTTTTAATTAGAAATGGAGGAACTCATTTATTGTAGTTGGTTTTTGTAATGTAAATAGTTTGAACCCAGGATGACAACCACAACCTAGAAAAGGTTCAAGGGCAGAATTATGCATTTTCCAGGGATACAGTGCAATTTTATAGCAGCATCAAGTAACTGTTACCTTCAGTTTTTTCAACAAAATACTATATATATTAAACATGACTTAAAAGAACTCTGACTGTGCAATTTAGCACCTTGAAATTGGGCCTCTGTCTCTTTAAGAAGCTCCTGCTCTTCCTGACACTCCGCCTTCAGGAAGTTATCACAACATCGTTTCTCCAACCAGGAGCTCGGCAAAAACTGGAGCAGCATCATGTTTTAGTAGTTGTAGTGAAAGACCACACGCCTCAACTTTCGTGCTTGTTTTTGTCTTTTTTACCCAGAATGCTCTGCGCCACACTTCACTTCCTGCTTTTGGAGCTGTGTCTGGTCCACTTGCAGCCACATTCTGCATTCAAACCGCACCAGAGTTCACTTCAACGAAACTGAGACGGAGGTTTGTGGACGAACCTGAGTTTGTTGTTCTGGTCCCCATCAGAATTAGATTAAAGTGGACTAACCAGGGCTGGTGTGAATGAACCCTAAAGGTCTATTTCACTGCCACTGGGTCCGGTGCTCTGCATCAAGAGGAGGAAGGAGGGCAGCCAGCAAGTTACTTAACCGCTTTTTCAGATCAGCAGCTGAAACATAACTCCATAAACGGTTCAGGAATCTGCAGAGCAGAAGCTAATGTTAAGCTTCTGGGACAGTTCTGACCTGAACCCTTCAGAACATTTGGACCTTTTGGTAAAAGGCTGGTCTGTGCCTAGAAAACAACCGATTTAAACGACCTGCACCCATTCTCATAAGAGCAGTCACAAATCAAGTCCAATCATGTCATCTCTGTATAATCTGGGTATAAGAATGAATTTGAACTTGTATATCCCTGAATAAAACATTGTAGTTTTAGGTTTTATGAGCAATCCACTCTGACATAAAGATCTCTTCAAATTTGTCTATTAGGGCAAATAATTTAAAGCGATGTCCATATTGATAATTATATTTAAATCTCTGTGTCCAGTTTCTCTTTTCATTTAGCTTTCTTTTTTTTTTTTTTATCCTGAGCTCATTAGATTGCTCCTTTCATTTCCTCCACTCACCCTGTGGCCATTCTGGGCCTTTTATTGTCTATTTATTCTCATTTGGAGCAACATTGCTGTCAGGAGGTTTCTCTCTCTTTTTTGCGATGATTTACTCTTTCGTTCTGCTTTCTAATCTTGCTTTTTTTTCTTTTTTTTCCCCCCTCAGCACTCGTTTTCGTGTCTTTTTAAATGGTGTCTGTACGGCGGTTTCGGGATTACGGTTATTTAGTTGGCGTAATGCTCGGTTTTTTTGTGCCACTTTGTTGTTTTGTGTCACTGTGTTCGGGTTACAGTACAAACATGTTTCAAAACGTTCTCCTTCGGTCTCATCGGGCCACCAAAATGTGTTTGAGGATGGCCATGATGTTTCACTGGGCAAATGTGAAACTGGGCTTCGGGTGCTTTTAGAAGGACCAATGTCTTTTCCATTATTGGTAAATAATGAACATCAACATGGTTTTAGTTCTTTCTTCATTTTGTTTCTCGTACAAATGTCCTATAATGTCCTATATGCATTCTGCTTGGTTTTCACTATGATTTATTACTTTTCCCCCAGTTGTTGAAGCTGGAGGGAAACAAGAGTTTTAAATGTGTCACAAAGCAGTTTGAAAATTGATCTTAAGCTCACATTTTTGCTTTTTCTTATGTTTGAGTGGCTAAGCCCTTAATCTACTGTTAACAGTTGTTTCCAAAAACGAGGCCCTGCGGTTTCTGAACCACAGCGTTGGGTAAAAAAAACAACAAAAAAAAAGGAAAATAATCATCTTCACATTTTCTATCACCTTCATTAAACCCCACTTCGCA